CATCTCGGCACTATAGTGCAGGAACCCAAAAGTAGGTAAAGCGGGTCAAAGTAATTTTCATTTACTTGTGTGCAGTTCGTATGGAATTTTCCACTGGCTTTTTAACCAAAAGTAAGTTAGTTGTACCCAACAGTAGGTAAATATGATTATACTCAACGTTGAGTTCCTACACTTTACTACCCCTGTTGGGTGGTTTTGCTCCTTCGTTTTTGACAACATTAGTAGGAGAAAAGGAGACAAACTAGTCAAAAGTAGAGTCGGTGTATAATGAGTCACGCCAAGAGTGAAGCCAAGTCTACCTATTGAACTGTCAAACCGGCTACCTATCGTGCAAAGTAAACAAACATTACTATGCTATGAAAGGTCCACGAAAGGTATTGCAATAAAATATAAAATACAATTGAAGAAATGATCATAAACACGCAGTGAGCATTAAATTGTCATGGGATACGTTTGGTAATGATCAGTAATGAGAATTTCTACTATTTTTTGATAAGATAATTTGACAAAATCACTGATATAATAATTTACTACAGCCGCTATTTTTTTTCTCGCTAGAAGTCATTTGAAGTTGATGTAGAAGTCCTCTGTTGCCAAGTGAAAAGAAAGGGAATGTTTCGAAAACCGTGATGCGAGTTCAACTGTTTTTCTCTTGGCGTGACTCATTATACACCGACTCTAGTCAAAAGTAGGTAAAAGTGAACTGGCCGTTGGGTACTTTTTTCTTACCGTGTAAGGCATTTTACGAGACGTTTCGAGTCAGCTGTTTTTTTTCTGTTTACCTATTTTGACGTTTATCAGCGGGCCGATTTGTTGACATACCACGACCAAAATCAAAACAAAAACATCAGACGTAAACAATAACAATCCCCCTTATTATGCGAGTCACGTGACTCTCTGTCACCGGTGAGGTGACAATTGTCACCTCGTGTGAGGTGACTCTCCATGTAAATCAAATGGAGGGTCACCTCACACGAGGTGACTATTGTCACCTCACCGGTGAGAGAGAGTCACGTGACTCGCAGAATAGGGGGGAATGCCTCCAGTGCGTTCGAGTGGCCCGCCAGGAACTGTCATCAAGACGTCACGTAAAATAGCTTATTGTAATTACTACCTAGAGAATGTGAGTGTTGAGAGTGCTGAGAGTGTGTGCGTGTGATAATAAAGGAAAAAAAGAACCTCGTTACCGCGCTTACTAGAGTTCGGTCACTTGTTGCCGAAGAATCTGAGCTTCGGGAACAAAATATGAGAGAATCATTCGATCGGGTGCAAAATTGAGAGAGGCACCGAGAATACACTGAGTGTTTGGTCGTCGTGTGGGGTTAAGTTACAAACGAAAAGATCCGAACGACATTCCCTTAACTAACAATAGTCTATCATAAACGAACTGTATCCCGAATGAGTAAACTATCCCACAAATGGTTTGGATGATACCCCGAACACGTCGTTAAGCTCTCTTTTATGGTTATCTTTATTAGGGTAGTCAAGTAGTGAACCAATTTAAAATCGTTAGTTTCCACCGGTTGGTCCTACGCTCGCCATAGTCCTCTCCAGGCGGGTTCGTATTGGTGCGATTTGCTTGTGTTAGTGAGATGATTTTTTTGTAAGCTATGAGAATTTTGTTTGTTTACTGTAAGAACTGTCAGTCGAAAATATAAATTAACCACAAAACGAAAACAAATCCTACTCATGCACGGTTAGAATCAAATACGCATTTATGAGTTAAATTTAACCCATTTTAAATAAGTGTGGCTTTACTCATTAATGAGTAAATTATTTTAACAATAATGAGTTGCTCCTAACCGTTACTACTTAATGGGTATACTAAATTATTCATTATTGAGTAGTGCAACTTTTATTGACAATGGTTTAACGTTTACCCATAAATGGATGTTTGATACTTATAGCAAAGATGAATACTCGATGAACATTTCAAATGGTCCTATCTGCTTTGATCGATTCTCTTCATCGACTTTCTCTTTCGTTAATAACTCAGCTGCAAAACCTTTCCCTGTTGTATTTGACGTTTTGGACGCTAGATAAGAACCTCCTTTATCAAACTATGTGGTAGAATTAGCGCGAAATCTGTTTGCATAGCAGTGGTTATGAAAAGAGAAAGTCGATGAAGAGAATCGATCAAAGCAGATAGGACCATTTGAAATGTTCATCGAGAATACTAAGATGAAACTGTCGGAAGAAAAACTTTCTATTTTAGTGTCCTCTTTCACGGTCCCTTTCATCCAATGAATACCCCCCGTATTCAAGGTAATTTTGTGGTTTTGCTGCCCCCTCGGTAGAGATGAAATTTTGCACTCATTTTTATCAAAACAATCACACCAAAATCAGAGATGTCCCATTTTTTAATTACTTACTTACTTTTAATTATAAACTTCACCGGTTGCTTATAGTGTACATGATCAGTATACGCTAGTGTGTGTGTGAAAAGATATTATAGTGTAGTGTTCTTAAGATCCGGCTTGGAAATCAATGAATAGTACTTAAATGAAAAGTATAAGGATGATTAATGCTTTTTATGTACTTTGAAGCATAAGAAACATTGAATTCAATGTAGTTTGATGAGGCCCTTTTTCATTTCTTTTTCGAGAGTTTTAATAGGCAAGTATCTCGGTTGGACTCTCCATATAATACACAATACTAACATACGACTCGAGCTATGGTGCTCACTAGGTCACTGTAGATTTCAGCTCGTATTGCGATTACATAATCAGGAACATGTAGATACGAGACATCACATATCAAGAAAAATATCAATAATATTGAAAGAAATCCGAATTTAATTCCTACTTATACTCATACACCGCGCAAAAAAAAAAAACAAAATGCAAATTTAATAAAACCTCATAAAGAGCAGTTCCAAACAGATTCGCAAATCGTTTCGGATCGATGGTTTTAGAATTACCTACTTGTTATTTTTTACACATTTTACTTTTCAATATACATAACTTTTTTGTTATTTTTTACACATTTTACTTTTCAATAATTTATAACTTTTTTATTTAAGAATTGCCCAGCAAATACCGAGGCAAATACACAATGTCAGTAGGTAGCACTTTATAAATATACACAGCAAAAAAAATGTAATATCGATCAATGTAATTCAAGCTGATGTATGAAATAATGATGTAATAGCAAAAAGCAGATACAATATTACATCAATGGATTAACAATCTCCACAACATACACCACGTATGTCAGCTGGCCAGGACGGACCACTAGTCTATAATCGGTCGCGGGGCAAAAATATCACGGAGAAGACGGCAACGCACATCTATTTCCCGGACTCAAACCTATCGAATTCGACGGATAAGAGCCCAGGTGTCCGTTGTAGCATGGAAGTTGCCGAACAGGCACGAAGCAACTGTTGATTTCGTTCAAACTACTGATTCTAGCCCCGGGAAAAGTCTCACCAATCAAACCCCTCTACGAAAAGCAGGTGGAAAAATAATTAAGGTAATTTTTTCCTCTCGGCCCAAGTTGTACTCGTCGCTGCTGCTGGTCAAGGGTTCGGAGAAGAAATTGCTAATAGTGTAGGAAGACACTCACCGGCTGATGGAGTTTCTGTGCGAGAATATTGCGAATCAAATTCCTGTCCAAATACAGCTGGGAATATTAACCGGATGTTAGTGATCCATCGCCACCACCCGTTCCTCCTACAGTGCAGTTTCGACCTATTCGGTACGGAACCGTTTTCTGCACTTGAGCTGTGAGGTTTGGCTAATATTGTTGGGCGGTGTCTATTAATTACGTTACGCTAAAAATCAATATTTTCGACCTCCCCCCCCCTTGGAACAAAACGTAACACTGAAAATGATCCCCTCTATTTATTACGTAACGCTCTAAAAGCCGCCCCCCCCCTCACCCCCGTCTCATTTCATTAGTTTTTGATTTCGTTATGTCTTTTGACGTTTAATTATCTATCCTTATACTTTTCATGAGCGGATAGCAATGGAAAAAATCGATGTGGTTTGCTTAATACATTCAATATGAATAATTCTCTTCGTGTACTCAGTTGCTTGAGAAATTAAAAAAATGCAGGTACTCAGTGCTGAGTTCAAGCAGTTTTTAGAAATGTTTCTACAATACCTCTGTGTAGAAGATACTCTCTATCTCTGAGTTATTCTCAGCGGCCGTGAACAATATTCGGTTTCGTTGTATATTTCAAGCTTAACATTGCATTCGGTCCTAAGTAACATTGACTCTTCGTCGACTTTGTCTTTCGTTAAAAACTTTAGCACATAACTGTTTCTTGTTGTGTTTGTAATATTAGATGCTAGATAAAAGTTTCTCTTATCGATCTGTGTGCTGAAAATACCTGGAAATGTTTTTACATGACCATGGGGATACAAAGAGATATTCGACGAAGATAATCTGTCAATGTTACTTAGGGCCTAATGCAATTTTCAGCTTGATTTGTTTGAAATGAAATTTTCTGATTGCAATACTCTTCTTCATAAAATAAATTGCATTTTCGATGCACTCAACGCTCTAAGCGAGCACTTTTGGAATCACTCTTACACGAAATCGATGTACACAGTACGCAGCCAATTTTGTTTTGCTTTTCCTTCTCTTGCTCCCTTTTTACCGGCATTCGGCATATTCTCACATTCGAAGAGAAGAGGGTCCGACGTGAGAGTACTAGAGAGAAGAGGCTCGCTTGTTTGTTGTGAAATAAATTTACCGCCGGTATTTGGCTTTATATGCCCTTGAAGAGAGAAGTACGCCAAGTACTTTTTTGGTAGTCTTACGCCGTTGTTAAGCAAATGTGACGGTACGCTGATGGTACATCATAATAGGACTGAAAGAGCAAGATTCGGATTGCTGCTGCTGCCGGTGCCGTGAGTTTACCGTATATATAAGCGCTTTGTGCTTGCTCTTGCTGCTCGCGAGAGTGCGAGAGTGAAAAGGGGACCCTCCGCTCTGGTTTCGTTTGTGATGAATGCTTAGCAAACGGGGTTGAAAGTAGAGGAGAAAAGACAGCAGCTTTAGTTAATATTAGACCGTCAGTGTTAGATGTTAGTGGCTGAAAAGTTTGTGTGATTGAGGTTATGTTTTATACTTCGTTCTTTGCGGCAATATAAAATGGTAAGTCTTATTCGCCTGTTCTATATTATAATTAAAAAGTTCAATTACTATTGTAATTTATGATTAAAACCAACGCAGTCGAAAATGGAAAATATAATTTTCTGGCTTGCAATTGCTTCGGAGTGTGAGTGACATGAATCGAATCTTTGTATATAAACGTTTGCATTAGTATAAGTAAATCGTTCGAAGAGCTTACTGGAAGTTTGTCACATAAGCAATTATTTACGCAGGTATATAAAGATGGACTTGAGACTCAACATTGTTGAGAGAAGTGTTGACGACGGTGCTAGTTTGAATGAAATGTGCCGTGTGAGCATTCCAGTGGAACCAGGGAAGTGCAATCGAGTTTTTATTGCGTGATGTGTTTGATTCGTAGTGAGTGTTTTTTTTTTTTTACTTTTCAGGAAGTTCGTGCTGAAGGTACTAGTGTAAGTTGTACTTCAATTTTGGAATACGTTATTTTACAAATAGTCTGAAATTTGAAGTGTTGCGCAAAGGTTTTATGTATATAATTTTATGGGTGCATATATCGTTTTCGTTGAATACGTATTTCCATACATTTTTAAATGGAAAATACGGTTTGAACGTAAACAAGAAGACTAGTTTTTTAGAGTGTTTTATTTATGTCATATATTAAAAAAAAATAGTTCTAATAATAAATGTAAATTTACCAAAAAGAGAAACAAATTTTGATAGTTTTCAGCTGCTTCCCCTTCAAGTGTATTGGGATATTTATGATCAAAGGATTGTGTTCAGATTGAAATTGGGTTTAGAATTTGCAAAGAAATTGCATTAAATGGTTCTCTAATCTTTTCAGCTTCCCAATTAGAGTCAGAATAGACACAGCATACCAAACTGGAGCCGGCCAGTTCGATCAACTATAGAGAGCAAAATCAGAGATGAGAAATATTTATACTGAAGTATTTTTTTTATACGTTTTTTTCGACAATTCTAGAAATAACTCGCGTTTAAGAGGCAACTAATTATCACTCGATTTGCTTCTACTTCTGATTGTATTTCTAAATCATCACTTTCTAAAAGTATGAAAATGACTGCTGGTATGGTAACCAAAATCTTACCATCTCTTTTATTCCTTCACTTTTCAATACAACAGCAATTTGACGTCACATTATCTACACGCTCGTTCGAGGGTTTAGATTTATAAATTTGAGTAACATCAACTCAACAAAAAATAAATAAGTATGGATCTCAATTATGAGTTTTCAGCTTGTTAATTGACTCAAAACAAAAATCAAAATGGCGTTTGTGAAAAAGTTATAAACACGAAGTTCATCTTTTCGGTTCCTAAAACAAAAATTTTAAATTTTGAAAGAAAACTTGGAAAAATGGAGCAGATGGCAGCCACGGTTGATGTGGAACGTATCGAAAATTGAGAGGAATTTGTTTTTTTTTTTCGCAGAAAACATCAAGTTATAAAAGCTGGCAAGTTTTTAATTATTTGAAATCATGTTTATTATCAACATTAAGGGGAAGCTCACCGGCCCAAACATAAAAAAATATTTTCGGTACGTTTTTATTTTTCTAAAAATATTGGGAAAAATTATCAAAAATCCAAGAAAATCAGTTTCTTCCTTAAATTTTTGTCAAAAATTACATGTAAAAAATTTTTTTCTATCCCATCATGAAAAAAAATTGGACTCAGAAAAACCGAAAAGTTGATGTTTTGTGGTTTTTTGAGTCCAACTTTATGCCATAATGACTTATAAAACATGTTTTTGCACGTGAATTTTCTTTAAAAAATTAGAAAAAAATGTGATTTTTTTAGATTTTTGATACTTTTTTTCAATATTTTTAGAAAAATCAAAACGTAATTATTTTTTTCGAAGTGGTGAACTTCCCCTTAAGGTCTTCGGTGTTATCTACCAAAATGCGATATTTATATTTATTCACCATTAAATACATCCACTCATGGGTCCAACTTCGTATTTGCTTGTTTAAATAAACTTATATTAATTGTTAGAGGAAATACATCTGGCAACGCTTGTTCAATGATTTTATCATGTTCACTAGCAAAGAAGTGGAGTCAAAGTAATTTTTGTGGTGTTTTATTTTGATCACCATTGGTGATTCACCAAGAGATTTGGAAATCAGTTTTTATTAGTTTTGTGTATACGATTACTTAAAATTTCAGGGTGTCGACTACCTGGAAAAACCTGGAAAGTCAGGGAATGTCAGGGAATTCCATTTATGATCTGGAAAGTCAGGGAATGTCAGGGAATTTTAGTGTAGGTCAGGGAAAAAAATAATGTTGATCACATTGCTAAAAATTATGTGTGGGACACAATCTTTGAAATTTTATCAGTGCATGACGTCAACGTTTTTGGGAAGATCCCGGGCATCAGATCTACTCGCTGCGTTTATGGACGCCCTTGCCGATATCTCTTCGAACAAGTTGCTGCAAGTGTCCATGGATGGGCCCAATGTGAATTGAAGCAAGAGGTACAAAAAGGTGGCGAGAAGCTGATAGATCTGGGAAGCTGTGGGCTGTATATTTTGCATAATGCATTCAAGGATAGTGTTTGCAGTATCAGTTGGGATGTTTTCAAATATTTGCGTGGTATCCAGAATATCTTCAAAGATGTACCCTATCGCATGGCAACGCCAATGCAGAGAGAGGTTTTTAGGTAATAATGCAGAATATCTTTTTTGGAAAAAAATAGCATCAGCATCAAAATGAAAGCATATTGAAATCCAGTTTTGATATCAACATCAAACTGAAATCCTTATTTGATTTCAGTTTATGCAATTGATAAATTTTGTTTTCATTTTGCTGTACAAAAATATGTTGTTGCGGGTTTGACTTCATTGCCTTAGCATAACATCAAATTGAATACTTGTTTTGTTATCAACATGAAAAATTGATATCAAATTGAGTATTCAGTTTGCTCTCACTGATAGCAGAAATAGTTTTCAATGTGATGTCACAGGAAGATATGTTTGCTATCAATTTTGATATTTTAACCGTTAAAACGACCAAAACGACAGCAACCTGAGTTATCATTATCAGCGAAATCACAACATCAAATTTAGATTGTAATTTGATCTCAGACTTTGCTCGGGCTGTGTCCATGATCGAGGGAAAAAAGTTAAATAATACCACTGAACTGTCCAAAAGTTCATCTAATTGAGGTTAACCACTAACGGTGCAAATCCTGATTGGTGGACAAAAGTTGGCGCTACTTAGTGGCGTAAGATAGAAATTTTGACATGACGGTGATGGAATTCTTTCACGGTGAGGTATGGGAGAATAGTTTGAAATCATATAAACAAGATCGACATAACTTCAGAAAGTACTGAATCACTTGAGAATAGTTCGGAATCACTTAAAAAATTACTGAATCACTTAAGGAAATAATTGAATCACTTCATAAAAATACGGAATCTCTTCAGAAAGTACTGAATCATTTCAGAGCGCACTGAAAAACTAATGAAAAGTTCGAAATCACTTCAGAAAGTACTGAATCATTTCAGAAAAGTTTGGACTTACTTCGGAAGTGCTAAATCACTTCAGAAATGTTTTCAATCAATTCGGAAACTACTGAATCATTTAGGAATGTATTGTATCACTTTAGAAATGTTCGAAATCACTTCTGAACGTACTGTATCGATTTAGAACAGTGTGGAATCACTTCAGAAAGTCTTGAATCACTTCAGAAAGTCTTGAATCACTTCATAAATGTTGAGAATCATTTCACAAAGTACTGAATAACTTCAGAAAAGACCCAAAACACTTAATAAATATTCGAAATCACTTTGGAAAGCACTGAATCATTGCGAAAAGTTCACTTTGAAAATAATTGAATCACTTGAGAAATGTTCGGAATCACTTCGGAAAACACCGAATATCTTCAGTAATGTTCGGAATCACTTTGGAAAAGTTCATGATCACTTCGGAAAGTACTGAATTATTTCAGAAAGCACTGAATCACTTCGGAAAGTGTTGAACCACTTTAAGCTCGGAATCTCTTGGGATAGTATTGAATCACTTCAGAAAATTTCGGATTCACATTGGAAAGTACTGAATCATCCCAGAAAGTTTGTAATCATTTCCGCAAGAACCGAATAACTTCGAAAATGATTAAATTAGCTAGGAATGCACAGAATCATTTCAGAAACGTTCAGCCTCACGTCGGAAATACTGAATCGCTTCAGAATGTTCATAATCACTTCGCAAAGCACTAAATGATTTCAGAAAGTACTGAATCACTTCAGAACTGTTTGGAATCGCTCCGAAAAGTCCTGAATAATTCCAGATAGTTTGTAATCACTTCCGAAAGTACTGAATCGCTTCAGGAAGAACTGAATCACTTTTGAACAGTTTGAAATCAATTCTGAAAGTACCCAAGTAACAATTTGGGTTTTATGAGGGTACTGTAGACCATGATTTAGACTTTTAGAGTGCTTTAAAACCTCAATAAAACTTACAATGTTACTTGGATAATTAATCACTTCAGAAAAAACTTTGAAATTCTTCGGATAGTATTGAGTGACTTAAGAAAATTTCTGAATCCCTTTGGATAATACTTAATCTTGCCAGAAAGTTTGTAATCGCTTTCGTAAAAACTAAAAAAAAATCCGGAAAGAACTGAACATCTTCACAAAACTTCGGAAAGTACTTTATCAATTCTCTCAAGTTTGCAATCACTTCTTCAAGAGCTGAGATCATTTTGTAATAACTTCAGAAAAGTTTGGAATCCCTTCAGAAAATATTTAGTCACTTCAGAAAAATCGGAATAACTTTGGGCATCACAGAATCATTAAAAAAAAGTTCTAAATCTCTTCTGAAAGTACTGAAAAACGATAGAAAATCTCGGAATCAGTTTGAAAAGTGCTGAATTACTGCAGAAAAACTTCAAAAAGTACTGAATCACTTCAAATAGTACAGACATACTTGAGCATGAGAATGATTAACCGCTCGCAGTTCTCAGAGGCGAACCAGCCTTTAGGCTAAAAACCTCTTAAATAAAGAAAAAAAAATC